ACAGGTGACATTTTAGCAGGCTTAAAATTTAAACTAATCTATTCATGGAAATGTTGTGATTCAGCGGTAAACATGACATTCGATACTACAGCATCAAACACTTTACACATGACAGCAGTCTGTGTCCGGCTACTAGGTAAAGTTCTTCTATGGTCTCCAGATGTTACAGTATTCTTCAGATTTCCTAATCACTTAGAGCTTCTAGGTTCACAAAGATCATCAACACTAGATTTATTAATATCTGTAACTTTAGAATTTGTAGAGCAATTATCTTGCTTTGACAGAAGTGATTTTAATGAAAAAGTAAGAGATTTTAATGACAAAACAGTATTATTGAACTCTCAGCTTTTGTGCAGAGATGACTACTAGGAGTTTGTTGAGTTCTGTATAGTTTTTCTTGATGGTGTAGTAGCATGAGAGACTTGCAAACAGATAACATTTAAGCCACATGGGATACTTACACAAAGCCAGATGGACGGTAAAACTAATTTATGCCATCAAAATTTACCTCTTTAAACAGCAGATCCAAAAACTTCCAAGAGAATTATTAATAACAAACCAGCAGAATTTGAAACTCTGCCACTTTGTTAATTTTGTGACACTTGTCTATAGTTCATGGTGGATGTCTTGCAAACCTGTGAAAGACACATGACATGACCTTAAATTTTACGAGGCAAAGTTTTCATATGCAGCTGTTAATACAGAGATATCACAGAGTGCAATTTGTGCCTTCTTTACCTATAGTACTTAATGACAGAGATGGTACCTCTTGCTCTGTGGAGTAGTAAGGTGCCAGCAGATGAACATCATGCTCTAGCAGACAAATTTCTTGCAGAATAGACTGATGATGTTTTGATTATTCCACAGCACAGATTTGGAACAGGATTTGAAAAGCCAAGATTTCCCACTAATGACATAACTATGTCAACAAGGTTAGCAGATCTGATTGGACCAGACTTGTGATTTATCTTTCACAACCTTCAGTTAAACTCAGAGTTCTTGCATGTTTGGTCAAACTTAGCCTCATTTAATGCATTAATAGTCAACCTGAATGCCATTAACATTGTCAATGAATGAGCTGAGAGGGGATTTAAACCCAGTGCAGACTTTCTGGCATCTTTAAAAAGAGAAGAACATTATCGGAATGTTTGGCGGGTGGTTGAGCAAGATTGCCACGCACAGCCGGATATCTGTAAACAAGAAATGACTGGAATTTAGATTTAAAACAACCAATACCAGTGTAAAAGTGAGTAGTATAAACTTTTGATTGATTTACTTTTTAGAATAAATTCTCATATTTCATATGTTATTAAACTAATAAAGCTATGGCTATAATGATATTGCATTTAGCATAAAGCATGTTAAAATAGTAGAAATTCAAAAACGGTGGTTTTGATTTTTAAGGTTGTTTTGTCTTATAATAATAAAACAAAACTCATAGTCGAAAAAGAGTGCTCAATATTAAAAAGATACTTCAAATAGAGCGATATACATATATATATTAACGAAGAAAAAACAACTTTTTCTATGGTACTTTAAGTTTCATGCCTATACGGCAATCATCAGCCATTGAATACAAAATCAAAAACAAAAAACTCGCTAAAAATTACAAAATACTGTGTAGTGGGATCTTAACATCGCTAAGATACTCTTGATGGCAACAAAAGAAAAAACAAAATATCAGCTAATCTCCAGTGTCAAAAAAAGACAAAAGGAATTTTATCGTCAAAAATTTGCAAAGATGGCAAATTTTTGACGAGACGTTATAAGTATTGCAACGTTTTACAATTTTCCACTTAATTAAGGGTGTAAACATTTTATCTTTTATGTCCCAAATTTCTTTAGACAACTCGGTATCATTTTTATATTTGTTAATGTTAAAAGATTTTAGGTGGTTCGCATACCGAGATTTGAATGGAGTTTCACATAAGCCAAAATAGACTTTTTCTTTGTAGTCAGGTTTATTTGACGACACAGTGGCTTGATAAACGATGTTTTTTGTCAAGCACTGATTGTTCATGGGACAGATGGAATTGTTGATACAATTGCATGTTTTTCCCTCATCTTTATCTTGGCTATATAATATCCTGTGGTTGTGCGAATCAATGATGGACTTTTGTGGTTGTGCGAATCAATGATGGATATTTGGCATACATGAGTAGCTTATTTTAATGGCATTTTGATTAAATATCTTACGAAGTTTGTGACCAACCGGAAAATGTAGGTCTATATATATACATATATATATTTGATAAATTTTTTTTATAGGGCTAAGATAAGTATTTTTGATTAAAAAATTATGGTCTTTTTCTCTCTTCTCAAAAAACAGTATAATTAACATTTCAAAATGGGCTAAAAAACATTTATCACCAGGTGCGGCATTGTTTTTATAACCTTTTCAATAATTAAATTCAAATCTTCTTGTTTATATTCATAATGTAGTTTGCAAATGTATATATTTAAAATCAGAATAGAATTACTCATTTTATGTACCTTTATTACCTTTACCAAACAAAAGAATATGCTATTAACCTTTAAATACAATTTTAGTAATTTTATAATAAGAAATATGAATACACAAATTAAGATAGAATGTGTTGTATGTATCATTAAAAATGTAAAAAAATAAAATGTAGCAAATATTTAATTAATAAATTAAGTATTTTTCGACTTTTATAATATTTACAAATAATAAATTCTTGGTTATTTAGGTTAATAATAATGATAAATACTAAACTTGCAACAAATATGTATAAATGAAACGAAAAGTGTGAGTTTGAGAATAAATTTAAGTTAAGGTCTAATAAAAAAAAGAAATTCTTTATTATTAAAGTAGCTAAACCAGAAATTTTAGGTAGTTTTTAGTTGGTAAGAAACTAGTGCAATTTAATTTATTTATTATTAAGAGAGAGTGGTCTAAATTATTTCAATAAAATATAATGAACAAAAACAAACATGCATTTAGAAATTCAACATCCATCAGGCATGGATATTCTTCAACATCTAGCTTACCTGCAATCTAATCTGTGTAAAACCACCAAAAAAATCAATTTAATGACGTAAAAATTTTTGTAAATGACACTTCACTACTCAAAAATCTTAAAATGCTAGACAAGCTTCTGATTTCTGATTTCAAAAAAAAAAAAAAAAAAAAAGAAGCTCTTCTAAAGATTTAACAAACCAGAAAAACTTTGAAAATTACTTAAAAAAAAACTTTTGGGTTGGCAAACCAGATTTGAAAAACATTATTAAGATCAACAAAAGAAAATCTCACAAGGATAAACTCGAAGATGTTGTCCTTGTGATGTTTTTGGAAGATCAGGAAGGAGAAAGAAAATTTATTCTTAGGACAGAGGATAAAAAATTTAGTAGAAAGGTTAAACTTGACAATTAAAAATATTCGGTTATATATTTCTTATAAAACATTTCCTTATAATTAATATTATTTTATGATTGCTACATTAAATTTTGCAGAAAGTGACAAGTGCCATTTTAATTAAAGCTGATGTTGATCTTAAAGATCAATCAGATCGCTTTACAAGTACACTTGGTACTTGGACTCAACTATGATTCCGCAAGCTCTGTCGGATAAGGATTTGCCTTTGCATAAAAAACAAAAATTTGCAGCTGCTGAACACTTTAAATGAAAACAAAGAAATGAAAGACATCAGAAAAGAGATTGAAAAATTGCTAGATAGAAAAAGAACCACTTTTGGTAGATGAGTTTTCTTACCTTATGTTTGGTTATAGTGGTTTAACAGAAGAAATTATAAAAGACTGGCTTTCACTTCCACCTCAATACTGGCATACACAATCTTTGATTAAAATTTTTAAAATAATAACCTTATTGTTGTCGATGACTAGTCAGAAAGAGCCATCAGCATGATGCAGCTATGTTTATTGCTATGTTTAAAGCTTGATATAATAGGAAAGAATGCACTTAATGTTTCAATGTTTCCCAACACAGTAAAAATTATATTCATTCTTTGTTTTACATCCAAGACAATTGTACATCATATATCAACAATTGTACAGCAAAACAAGTTAAACTTATTTATTATCAATATGCCATTGAGCAAAAAAACAATCTTTGGTATTGTAAATTCGCTGTTTAAAAACCAAACCGCTAAGCACCCTTTTCTAGATGATGTCATAGGTTTATGCAATCAAAATTAATCAAATCTAGAGAACTAAGTGCAAAACAAAAAAGTAAAAATTATTTTTAGCAAATAGTATCCTTATTCTAATTTATTAAAAAAAAAAATTAATTTGTATGTTATAGTCTTAACTAACAAACAAGAATTAGTATGTTACAGTTTCTTACATATAATAGACCTATCTAGTTAAAACGAAACCTTAAAAATCACTATAATATGATGTTTTAATTAAACAGAGTGTATAAATAATAAATAAATATTTGCATTGCTTCTAAAAATGTTTTCCATCTAAACTCCACTTCTAGGATTAAGAGTTTACAAAGAGGCGTTAATGGGCGCAGTGACCCCGGAAGCATGGACTCTTCCCCCCCCCCCCTCTCCACTGCTGCTGTAGTGAATTGATATTTTGGGGGGATGGGGGGGGGGGGAAGGGGCACAAAGAAATAGTAGGGGACAAAAGAAAATGACAATTCAAAATTTTTAAAATGTCGATTTTACAAGCGTTTTGTGGTTACCTTGGGCCTCTTTGCCTTATGTATGCAACTGAGAGAGCAAGGAGTCATGACCCCACTGTGTAAAAGTAGAAACAAAAAATCTCCTAATAGTAAAAAAAATTATGATATTAATTAAAAGCGTAGACATGGCCTTCCAGTTCCTAAAATGCTTCGCCGCTGCTGACTGGCAAAGAACAAGCTGGAGTGCGATGAAAATTACCTAAGAAATTGTTTAATTGGTAGCCTATTTAGTTAGCACAAAACTAAATAAATCAATATAATACAATCTTTTAATCAAACAGAGTAATCAAAAGTATATATTTTAAAATAGTATATATTTTAAAGCTACTGTATTTACAAATCAATTAGATATTTGCAGTTTTATAGAAATGTAATAAGCATTTTAAAAAGAGGTTTTATTGGGTAGTTCTGCTAGAGTAAAAGGATCCAGAGCAAAAGATACTATCTGTGAAACAATTAATGCTGGAGCAACGGCAGTAGCTGACTCCTTGTACGCATTTTTTGTCTTTTTTCCTGGTTTTATCCATGCGTTTTTTAGTTGAAGTAGGTTCTGCAGCTTTCGTTCACTCTTGACCACATCAATAGATTTAACAAAATTCTGGAACTCAAAATAACCTAAATTCTTTCCAAAAGATTTGTGGAAGTTTCATTCAGATACATTTTTCTATATTATACCCTAGAATGGTGAAGATTAATCACGAATCGGTGGAAACATAAGAAGCTAGAGATGGGGGATGATCTTTATGCTGAAAAACACTGGTAACATCTGGAAGAACTGCTCTGACTCTCATAACTTCATTATTGTTATGGTCATCTCACTTGGTTAAGTATAGAAACTTCGCCATTTCTTCCATATCCTTGTAATGGTTACTGTCAGAAGGGGCTATCAACATTATAACTGTAGATGGATCTAGGTATCAGGTATGATTTTCCCATGATTTGACAACAACTTTGGCTTCAGGCTTAAAACTAGCATAGTGGCATATCTCCCAGTAGTTCATCTGATCCTATAGAAAATTTAGGTGTTGTTACTCAAATTATTAACATTTTAACTATTATTGTAATTTAAGAAGTTGTTTATATACCTAACTTAAAAGGCAGCAAAATTCACAGAAGCTAATTCGCAGTATTCACCAGGTTTATACAATGTCTAATTAAAAAATAGAAATAATAAAAATTTTAGAAACAAGTGTATAGATGTACAAAAAGCTATTGTTTGTTTTTAATACTTAAAAATTTAATTTTTTTAACTTACCTCAGTGTTTCTCAATACACCTTGGTCCTTGAGGTGTTTGCAGGTTTTCAGTGCTAAGCACGCTTGTTCCTCCACCCAGGTACCGGGTGAAGGAACAAGCACATACTTATTTAACTGAACTTTTGGTAGTTGAATTTGACTAACTCCTTCACTTGATTTATGTCAACCTCTTGCCAGTACTGCTTCAGTGATTTAAACAATGGGTTCTGGGGACCAACAGTTTTGTGAATTGCCACAGCATCAGAAAAATGCTTGATGTGAGTTTTACCTACATGATGTCTGCAAGCCATCATAAGTAACTTCCAGCTATGAAACTTAGCCAACATTGTGCAGACTGCTTTGAGACCACCAGTGTTCGAAGCAGTAGTGTCAAAGCTTAACTCATGAAGGAACCAACCACTTTAAAAAGAATCAAGTAACTTCTGTAGCTAAAAATATTTTAGCTACAGAAGTTCCTCTCCTGTTCCATGGTCCAATCCTGGCACGCCAAAAAGGTGGGTCTCATTGTTAAATCTTATAAAGAAACACACTTGGCCTTTTGTCTCATCTGTTGCACCTGTAAAATCCCTAATGATTTTCTCATTAAAATGTAAAATTACTGGTGTATTAGTGTTAGTAACCATTTTACTTATATTACCTTAAAGAATAGCTGCATCCTCTGGTATAATTTGGTCAGATATTCTGTGCCCGGAGCAGAGGGATAATGTAAAACCATCAATATTTCCACCAGCACTGGTAACGACAGAACTTATAAGTGCATTTGCTTGATTATTAGAAATTCCCATTCCAATTGCAGTTATAGCAACTTTTGACACAATATCTCTAGGGAGTATGAGTACCTAATCTTTAGCAGATCTCCTTCTTTTGGGTCGAGATATCTCAAAATCCTTATCATCAAAACTTTGATCAGTACACTCAAGTTCACAATCATCAAAACTAACTTTATTTTCAGTTAAAAATCTTGCCTATATCTCTGTTTCTGCTTGTACAGAAAAGATTTCCTGGCTTTCTCTTAATTTTGCTCTCGCACTGACCTGCTCAAAATGACCATCAAGTTCTCCTATCACCACTTTTTGTCTTTCCATCTGGTCCTGAATAAAAAGTAAATCTTCTTCCTTGTCCTATATCAGTATGCGTCTATTATACTGCAAACTTCTGTGAAGAATTTCCAAATCATCACCAGCCCAAAACAATCCTATAAAAAAAAACAACTGTATAGCTAAATTTTGTATGAAGTTTTTAAAAAATGTTGAGGTGGGTTATTTATAATATAAAAAAAGACTGCTAAGGTTTATTCAGTTCACTTTATAGAAACACATAAGTGCCCAATAGGGATAAAATTTGGTAGTCAAAGTTTACTTTTTGATTCACAAGAGTTTGTGTTATTGCTATATTTTTAATCTTGACTTATATGTTAAATTTTGTCCATTTTAGGCACTTCTTTATTTATGTTACCTTCTAAAGATATTGTAAGCTTTTTTCAAGTACCATTATAATTAACTCCTACTTTGAACTGAGATTTTTTTACTTTTTTATACATTTTTTTACATAATTCTCAACTTGGACTTTCAGGTTGTTATCAGAAATGACCCTGAAGCGTGTCCTTCTTCATGGAATCGAAACTCCAGAAAGAATACAACCAAATTCGCAATAAACACTATCTTCAATGCACGATAATATAAACGAAAATCATTTTTTGAACAATATTATATAAATATTCTTCAAACATTCTCTCCTGGTTGGAATGAGTATAAATACATTACAGACATTTTATCTGATGTAATCCAAAAATATTTTTGATGTTACTTATATATATTGTTAAAAACTCTCACTTATTTTAGTGAGAAAAAAAAAAGGCTAACCGAATGTTTTGTTTACAAGCGGATAAGCAATTAAACGTTTCAGTCACATCTTTGGAAATCTGTCTCTTAGGTAATGTTGGATAATGTGCTTCCTCAGGGGAAGCTGGTTTCTATTTGTCTTTTCCAAGGTAACCCCTACAAGGAATCTTGCTCTTTGAGTAGACCATTTAGGAACATTTGGTTTCTTTCCTTTTTTTCTTATTCATGCTTTTTACTGAAATCCTCAGTTCCGAGCCTAGGGACAATACCCTTGTTGTCATTTTTCGTTTTATCTGACACAAAGATTTTGGGATTAATAATTTTGCTCCATTTTATCTTATTTTAAAAACCTATTTAATTAATATAATTATTTAATAATAATATAATAAACATATAATATAAACAAAATAATAACAATAATAATAAACCAATTTGATTAAGAAAAACTTAATTAAATTTAAAAACCTAATTAAATTTAAAAACCTAATTAAATCTAAATAAAGATCTAATTAATATTTAAACCATACATTGAAAAACTGAAATTTTTTTTTAATTATAAGTTTATTCATTCACTTTTTTTTTAAATGATGACAATCGATATCAATTGCATAGTTACACTGTAGAAAGCTCTGGAACATTTTATGGCGATTACTTAGTTTTTGATTCACATTGCTTTCAATTAATAAATTTGTTAATATGTTAAGGGGTTTTTTAATGACAATTTTTATGGTATATTTGAGGATTGTTTTTATAAATTTAGGTAAATAATTGTAAAAAACCAAAATTGGATTTAGTGAAAAAAAAAAATGTTAATTTGTTGTTGTGAGAGCATAAGAACTAATCAAAAAAAAAAAATTTTTTTTAAAGTCATTTGTTTAGTCATTGTAAAAAATTTGTCAACCTCATGATTTACTGTTATATGACTTTTTTGCTTTTTGGAAATAATAAAATAAGTTATATAACTTAAATAATCCTTATATACTAATTCTTTATTTATTAATGAAGTTCATCTGGCTACAATATGAAGTTTATTTTTCATCTTGGTTGATGGATTCTATTAGTGCCAGTTGCTTGAATATGCCCTAAATTTCTCGAAAAAAGTTCAATTACAAAACTTAAAACATTTGGCACCAATACTAGTCATGATGCAAACACAAAAAAAAATAATTCTACACTATTAATATGATACCCTAATATTATTTTTAGACATACTGTGTATTAAAATTCAAACATTACAGACAAAGTGGATACCCCTAATATACAGTGGGTGATTAATAAATATAAATAAATATGTATATAACAAAATTAGTTTATTAATTATATGGAATGATAAAAGTCATGAATAAATTGTATATCAAAACTTTCAATTGTTATTAAATTGTTATAAAAGATAATGTTTTTTTCAATAACGACTCAAAAAAAAAGAATGCAAAAACTGAATAAAAATTTTATAACAATTTTTTTTTTTAATTTACTTTTTTAAAATAATAAATTTTCTTGTTTATTTAATTAAATTTGATATTTAAAATTTTGTTCCCTTATTTAAGATAAATAAGGGAATATAAATAGTTGTCTTTTTTCTTAATAAATAAGTTTAGCTTTTTGCCACGAATTATTGAAACACTTTATAAGTTAAAATATGCAAACTGTCATGGTCAGTTAGTCTAAAAAAATTACTTTAAATATGGACGAACAAGGCATGCGACCGCACACGCTTTCCAGGAAGGCTTCATATATATACATATATGCGGCTTAATACATTACAATGCATTTTCCATATCTCACAATAATTAGTTTAAGGCAAAATTTTTATTATTTATTTAAATACTTTAAGCTAGGATAAATTTAATTTATAATCCGCAAGAAAAAATATATAAAAGCGGCGAAAAGCTTTCCTAAAACAAACATGGGGATCCATGCAAGCTGCTCCTCTAAACTGCTTATTAGGAGAGCTTTTGGTTTATGCACGAGCTATCTGTTTATTCATTAAAAAAATTAAAAATTAAATACAAAATTTTGGTTTTATACTTGTTACAAGCCTAGGGCGCGACAAATTGTTTTCTTTTAATGAACATTCAATTTTTTACGCAATTTTGTGTGAATTAATGATAATTAATATGCAAATAATTACAATTGTAAATTTTTATCCATTGATATTAAATAATGAATTTTCCGGAATTTAGTTGTCTAAATTTATCTAAAAATAAAGAAACGTACAAACTTAAAAAATTAAAATAAAAGGAGCCAAAAATTAAAATAAAATCATGTTTACTTATATATATAAGTATTTAATAATAAGTTGTTAAACGCACAATAAAAAATAAAAACTATAATCAACATATTTTTTCTAAACTTAAAAATTCGTTTCAAACATTTTATAAGTGTTATTCAAATAAACATTACTTTACTTTAAGAAAAATAAAAATTGTTTAAGCATGGTTTCTTTTAAAGTAATTGCAAATTTATTCATTTTAACTAAAACTTCACATTCTTTAGTTAACACATGAAAAAACCATGCTAAAACATAATTACTTTTTTTGAAAGCATATTTAGTTATTTTACATAATAGTAACGCTATTGAAAGAAAAAATTAATAGAAAATAAAGTCTTTAAAATGTGTTTTAAATTTTAGTGACTAATTGTTTTTTATAATAAACAAAAATTATTATTCACATTATTATTTAGAAAATTGCTGAAGTAAAGTGTGTGTTTTTTAAAATTTTAAGCAAACGCCAACATTTGAATATGCAAAAATATAGAAACGCAACGTTTATTTTTGAACAATGTCTTTTTGACATCTTTGTTTGCACGTTCATAGATTTGTCGCGCCAAGTCAAGCATAAGTTTGTTACGTTAATATTACAAGAATATATACATAACAATATAGTGTAAAGTTTCTAGCACTCTAAGACATAAAAAAAGACAACTATTGTAACTAACTATAAAACATATGGTTAAACTTGACTATGTTGTGATTCTCATACGATAGATTTTTCAGTTTTATAATTTACCTAATAATACCAATAGAATACTAATAACTTAATTTTTTTCACATTAAGTTCTCACAAGTCCAATCATTTAGCTTCAAAAATATTTTTTTTAAATTATCAAATTTCTTTTCAGAACTTTACATAAACATAAGTGCCATTTATTGCAGCATGAAAAAATTATTTAGACAAGCATTGTTTATAAAAAAGTTTTGTATTTTCTTATTGAAATATAATACTGGCATTTTAAGAATTATTAAAAATAATTATTAAAATGAATGCATTTTTATTTTAGTAACAATGATAATTATATTTTTAAGAAAAAATTATGCTTTTGCGAGAGCCATAAACTGCTCCTATAAAATGTTAATAAAATAAAATATCATAAAATGCTCCCGCTTCCCACCGAGGCCTGTATATATGTGTGTATGTAAATATACACACGTACATAAATATATATACATATATATATATATATATATATATATATATATATATATATATATATATATATATATATATATATATATATATATATATATATATATATATATATATATATATACGTATTAGTTGCATATATCTTCGCGAGAGTGCTCGATGAATTAAATTTAAAGTAAATTAAAATGATTTAAATTAAAGCAGAGCTGTATCTGCCCTATGAATAAAAATTGCAGAAAAACAAATTTATAAGTGCATTGCATCATTCCCAAACACACCCGACAAAACATATATTGGTTCAACAGAGAGCATGTGGAAAACTAGATAAGCGAATCACAAGCAATCCTTCAAAAATAAAAAACTCACAAATGCAACCATGCTTTCAAAATATCTATGGAATACACAAAACAAATCAAAACCAACACCAAATTTAAAATGGTCCATCATTAAATATGTCCCCGCCTACAACAACATAACCAAAAAATGCTTGTTATGCTTATACGAAAAACTAATTATTTTATTGTATAAAAATCCTCAAGAATTATTAAACAAAAAAAAACGAACTAATATCTAAATGTCGCCATGAGAACAAGTTTTTGCTGGACAACCACAAACCAAAAGATTAGATTTTTTAACTCTTTTTTTTTTGTACAGATTTATTTTTTTTTCACGAGGAAAAAAAAACATATTTACACCTGATGATTGCATTTAGCATGAAACTTATAGTTGTGAAAAATATGCAGTTTTATTTCTAAATATTATATATATATATATATATATATATATATATATATATATATATATATATATATATATATATATATATATATATATATATATATATATATATATATATATATATATATATATACATATATATATATATATATATATATATATATATATTGTGATGCAAAAAACAACTTTTTGAAAAATAGTTTCCTGCTCTTAACTAAATGCGTTCTATATAATACAAAAACACTAGGTTCAAAGTTTTTTTGTATAAAAAATATTTTTAGGGGTGCCTCAATTTTATTTGTAAATATCATATTTGTGCTTTGAATGTAAAATGAACTTTAATTTAATAATTACCACAGAATTCTTTCGCCTTAAGGATTCCACACCTAAATTGACGTAAAAATAAATAAGAAACATTTTTTTAAAATAGAGAAAATTAACTTATTTTAAAACAGTAACTAGCCTTGATCTTTTTTCCGCTCATGATCTGCATCAGATGAATATTTATTAATGATTATTCTCTGGTGGATTGTTGCTTTTGTAATAGGTGACCAAACAGCAAACTTTTTTCGGTTGAAATATTTTCCATTAAAAAGTTTTAAACGATATGTAGGAGATGCTTTTGATTTCATTTTTTGGTTTTGTGCATCAGATAAAGGTAAAAATAAACCTTTTTTATTAAAAGAATTTTCAGGGTTTTCTTTTGTCAAAAAAGTGTCTATATTTTTGTTAAAGTCTGAAGAACTACATTCATAAGTTTTAGAAGATATTTTTATTTCTTGACTGTCCTGTGCAGGTAGCTCATCTGTTGCTGATTGTTCTTTAAATGATTTTGTATCTTTTAACTGTTTAGTATCTTGTAAAAAACTTTTCTGATTTACTACTTGGTAATTGTGTACTTCATCATTTCTTGAATATTTTGATGATAGATCATTATTTATTCTTTCATTATTTAATGTTTTTTTTTTTCTTAATTGCTCATGGTTTATTTCATCTTTTACTTTTACTGGTCGTTCACTTTTTATTGAATTTTCTTTTGCTGTATTTCGATCTGAATAAACTGGAGAAGGAGAAGCACTTGAGTTAGAACTACTAGTATATGAATAAGATTGATTTAAAAATTGTAGACCATTATATTTCCTTTCTATTTGATTAGCTGAAATTTTTTCTTTATCAATGGAAATTTGATATTGTTTTTCATTTTTGTTTCCATTCAAGTTTTTTTGAGACAGATCATTTAAGTCATTCTTTTGAGACAGATCATTACCTGAGAAAAAAAAAAATTATAAACTTCAAACTTTGATATAAACACTAACTTTGATTCAAACTATTATTAACATAAATATCATTTACCAGCATTTAGGTTAGAACAGCTCATGGTTGAATTTAAGTTAGAAGTGCTCATGGTTGTATTTCCATGCTTAAAAAATATAAAAATATTTAAAAAGTAACAAAGTTTATGTATTAGTATACATAAACTAGATGACAATAATAAAAAAAAATTTCTTTGAAGCTATAGATTTTTTTTTATTATTAGCATTAGCTAATAATAATAATAATTGACATCTGTGGTTCCAATTTTTAAAAACTCAGAACACTCTGACTCTTTCAACTATCGTCCAACCAGCCTTCTCTCTATTATTAGAAAGGTCTTTGAGTCTTTACTAAACCAATATCCTATCTTGGGTCAAATATTTTAATTATATATATATATATATATATATATATATATATATATATATATATATATATATATATATATATATATATATATATATATATATATATATATATATATATATATAGATATATATATATATATATATATATATATATATATATATGTATATATATATGTATATATAGATATATATAGATACATATATAGATATATATATAGATATATATATATATAGATATATATATATATAGATATAAATATATATAGATATAAATATATATATACATACATATATATATATATAGATATATAGATATATATATATATATATATATATATATATATATATATATATATATATATATATATATATATATATATATATATATATATATATACAGTATCGAACATAACAAGTGCAACCAAATAATGCTAATTTAGTTTCTTTATATAAAAGTGCTGCATTTTTTCAATTTAGAGAATTTACTATGTAACTGTTTAGAAACAACAGTCTTCAAGTTTTATTCATCACAAAGTTCATTATTTGTACACAAAAATTAATAAATTAATCCATCGATTCGATGTATTGGACCTAGACCATTAGCAGAAAAACACCCCCAGATCATTACATTACCTCCACCATGCTTCACGGTCTTATGGCAGTAACGTAAATCGAGGCGTTTTCCGGCCGGTCGACGTACATTGCAAATGCTATTGCTCCCAATGATGTTGAACTTCGATTCATCAATGAACAGGACAATTCGCCATTTCTGCACATTCCATTTAATATTTCTTGCAACTCTACAAAATCTTGACCTAGCTGTATTTCGCTATCAATATTTTGTGGCAAATCCCTTTGTTGTCGATCACAGCCTTGCATCTTCGAGGCATAGATTCGATCAGGTGATCAATGAAACTTTGTGGAATCGCTGCCCAGGCCTTTTAAATTTGTTCAAACAGTTAATCCTTATTAAGAACACCTTCACGATTAATTCTGCGGTTGACAATCTCCCACAGGTCCTCAATAGGGTTGAGACCCGGAGATTGAGACGGCCAATCCATCACCGATAGGTGGTTGTCTTGAAACCACTGCTTGACTACTTTTGCAGTGTGTTTCAGGTTGTTTTCTTGCCGAAAAACCCATTTTATTGGCATATTCCATTCAGCATGAGGTAACATAACATCTTTAAGGATATTTTTATACATGAAACAGTCCATTATTCCATCGATTCGATGTATTGGACCTAGACCGTTAGCAGAAAAACACCCCCAGACCATTACATTGCCTCCACCATGCTTCATGGTCTTATGGCAGTAACGTAAATCGAAGCGTTTTCCGGCCGGTCAACGTAAACGGCAAATGCTATTGCTCCCAATGATGTTGAACTTCGATTCATCACTAAATAGGACAATTTGCCATTTCTGCACATTCCAGTCAATATGAGATGTAGCAAACAGGAGTCTTTTCTTCTGGTTCTTTAGTGAAATCAGCGATTTCTTTGCAGGGCATTGAGAAAACAATTTGGCTTCAACAGCACGTCGTCTGATTGTTCGGTCCGATACAGGCAGCTCTAATTGCTTTTGTATCTTAACTGATGATATCCAGGGATCCATATTGACGGATCTGATGATCATAGAATCCTCTCTAGAAGTGGTGGAACGCGATCTTCTATCTTTGTTATTTGCTGCATCTTCCCCGTAGAACGATATTTGGAATATAGTCTCGATACAGTCCATTTTTTCACGCAATATTTATCACAAATACTTTTTTGTGATATTCTACTTACGTAATAATTTTACGCCAATAATTTTCTTTCTCAGTTCCAATCCAAGACTGTCAGGAGCCTTTTTTGCACTTGAAGTCATAAAAGCAATAAAAATAAATAATCACGCTTCTCAAGGCTTACCGTGTTACATTTACCTTGTGATGATACAATAATGCTCGATGGACCACAACATCTTGGTTAAATGTGGACTGTCTTGATGTAATGAAACACTTGTTGTATTTCACTTCTTGTATTGAAGTTCTTCGATAAAACACTTTGATAAAACTCACTTCGATAAACTGTCTTGATAATACTGACTGATTGACTTTCATATACTGACTGAATTACATGTCAGTTTACATGTCTCTTATGTTGTGGATTATGTCTTCCAAGATAAGTAGCAAAAATTAGCGGTTGTATCTTAATATAAACATTAATATATTTGTAATGATGCGGTCTTCTTAAAGATATTGGAAAATTACACCAACATAATTTTAAAGTTAATAAAATAATATTTTGTGGTTTTGAATAGTAAGTGACCGGATCCCCGGCTAAAAACATCGGTTTTTGCAAACCTGGCCCCGGCCCCGGCTAAACAAACACAATTTGCAGGGGTTACTAGCCAGGGCTGAATTTTTTATGTTGTTGTTCTTTACATTTAAATACTTGAATAGCTTAACTATGTAATTCTAATGATTAAAATTACAATTAAAAATAATAAATATAATAAATAATAAATTTCTCTTATGAAAAAATAAAATAATAAAAAAAATAATAATAATAATAACAAAATAATAAAAAAAATAAAAATAATAAATAATAAATTTCTCTTATGAAATTTATTTTAGGAACTTTTAAACAACCTGATTGTCAGCAGTTTTTAAATATTTTTTCAAATTATTAACTTTGTTTAAAAATTTCAAATAATTAATTTATTACATGATGGCCACTGACTTTTCTAGAATATCCAGGTTGCTGGCTTGTTTGTTCTTTCATCCGGAAAGAATAAAGTAGATCAGATGGATATATGGTGTCTTTAAAAGATAGGAAAAAAAGCAATGATCTTAGAGAGAGTATGAGAGTAGTAACTATATTTATAGTGTGTATCAGAGAAAATGATAATGATGCCAATGATTAAGATGATGATGATAATTGTCATCATCATCATCATAATCATCTTAATCATCATCATAAACGGTATGCTTGATGATGATGATGATGATGATGATCATAATCATCTTAATCATCATCATCATCATCATGTGGATGTGCGGTAATGCAACTAAAATATTCTGTATCGCAACGCACTTATTCGGTAAAGCATCTTTTATTCGTTATTGCAACTTTTTTGTTCGCTAGTGCAACACCGTGTTCGGTTTTGCAACTTGAATAACTTCATTTTTTTTATTAAGTGGTTACGTCATCAGCCGGCTAAAAAATATTCGTTCGAAGTTAGTAGGGCAGACAAAAATTTGCTTGGTGAGTGAATTAAAATATATTGGTATTAAAACAAAATTGTAGTAAATTTATTAAAATCTAATATATTTCAGTAGCCTATAAAATTACACATGTGTTTAAAGTTTTAAATTCTTTTACTTAATTTTTACAAAATTAAGACTAAAAAAGCACTTAACTTAGAAGTGTATATATTTTTTTAAGTACAATCAATTTTGAAGTTTATCCAACTTTACAAACCAATTTGTGATATACCTAAAGGGTATGCTGGCTTGAATCAAAGTGTTTTTCATAGATTTCTAATCAATAATTGAGTAACAGTTTATTTAAAGCGCTTTGATTCTATATAGCTAGCTATCTAGAATCAGATAGCTAGCTATCTAGAATCAGATAGCTATCTAGAATCAGATAGCTATCTAGAATCAGATAGCTATCTAGAATCAGATAGCTATCTAGAATCAGATAGCTGTCTAGAATCAGATAGCTATCTAGAATCAGATAGCTATCTAGAATCAGATAGCTATCTAGAATCAGATAGCTATCTAGAATCAGATAGCTATCTAGAATCAGATAGCTATCTAGAATCAGATAGCTATCTAGAATCAGATAGCTATCTAGAATCAGATAGCTATCTAGAACCAGATAGCTAGCTATCTAGAATCAGATAGCTATCTAGAACCAGATAGCTAGCTATCTAGAATCAGATAGCTAGCTATCTAGAATCAGATAGCTAGCTATCTAGAATCATCTAAAATCACCACTTAAATTCTAGCTAGCTAGAATCTAAATGATGTAAGTCAACTTCTACTTAAAACATTACGAATTTAACCAGCCAATAATAATAATATTAATAATATACTAAATGCTTATAATAATATTAATAATAATATTCCATATGCTTATAAAATTATTATTAATAATATACTATATGCTTATAATAATATTATTAATAATATAATGGTAAGAATCAGAGTGGTTTAAGTCACTTTTAAGTTGACATAAAAGTTATAATCTTTATATATTTTAATTGACATATAAGTTATAATTTCTTAAGTATATGACTGTTTAGTATTCTTTTTGTTTTACAATATTAAAAGATTTATAAAAAATTATATCTAGATTAGATTTTGTCCTTTTTACTCTAGACAAAATTTAATCAAGAGATTGCTGTTTTAAAGAACTCCATTGACAAAGTTTAGATTCATAACTTATTATTAATTTAACAGTAATTTTTAAATAAGGTTTTAATTATTTTCTTTTTTTTATTTACGAATATAGTGTTAAAATTATAGATGGTATATTTTTAAACAGTAATAATATAATTTCAAAGCTTTTAAGTTATATTTACAACAGCCAATTGTTATCTTCTTAAATATAAAGATTTAATAAAATTTAATTTTTCTCTTGTATAATTTTTCTATAATTCTTTTATAAAATGTGTATTTTTTATGTGTATTCTCTTATATTATTATGTGTATTTAAATAATATGTCTGATGAAAACTTTTAATCATACTCCA